ATATATTGAGTATTCTCATTGAGTTAGTCTCAATTGGTAAGTTTTCATCAAGGAGCAATTTGTGATGATAATCTTGTATTCTTCTGCAGACTTATTTTTTCTTTTTTTCTGAAGATCACTAAAGCAAAAGTTATATTGTGCATATTTCTTTAAAAGGTAGCTTCAGTATTTATGTCGCTCTATGTGCGCAGTCCAGCAATGTGTTTTAGTGTTGTTGTAGCGTGGTCACCTATGAGGAGAGCACTACTACTGTAAAGGCTTTCTTTATGGTAACTATAGCTTAGATATCTGACTGTTCTTTGACTTCAGAAATATCACTTGTCTTTTGTTTTTAATTTCTAGGTGGGGGTCGAAGAGCAAGTGTGTTGGTCGCTAAAGGAGGGACACAGATCTTGTTGCAGCTGCTTTTGAATGCCAGCAAAGACTCTCCACCAAATGAGGAGTTAATGGTGCTTCTTCACACCCTTCTTGCAAAAATTGGTCCAAAAGGTGATCATGTTACACTGAATAACGTGGCTTAGTATTTACTAGTTTTATAACTGAAACTTAAGGGAACTTTTTTTTCCTTCTGTTGTTGTGTAAGCATTTGTGTAGTCAGGATTGGTAAAGGAGAACAGAAGGAATAATGTAACGGGAGGAAAGTGGTGAAAAATAAAGACATTCAGAGTTGACATATCACTAGAAGGAATTCACAGTTTACTTTTTTTTTTTTATGATGATTTCAAAATTGGTTTGATCAATCTTCTATTTCTTTGATGTCAGATAAAAAGATTGGCATGAAGGCTAGAATTAATGGTGCCCTAAACATATCATTGAATTTGGTCAAGCAGAATTTGCAGAACCACAGGTTAATACTGCCGTGTCTTCAGGTACTGAGAGTTTACTCATCCAACTGTAAGTATTGCAGAGCATTCTTTTCTCTTTTTCATACAATAACAAAAATGTTTGAGATGGTTAAAATATATGATCTACATACTTGTTTAGTGTTACATGGTTAAAATGACCATCGCTACCTCAGAATTGGCTTGTTATATCTTCATATTACTCACGACCTAAGAAAAGCTGTGAAGTATATGTGTACTTGTGCATGACTGGTTTCTGTTTAGTGTGTGTATGGTTGGTTTTTTAATTAGCACTGTTGGGTGTGTGGAGTTATTTGCTGTTTCATTTTTATTATCGCTGATAAATTATCTAAAACTTTTCCAACATTGTGCTTGCAAGAGCACTTCAAATGAAATAATTATTCTCTTTATTACAAATGCTTGTGACTTTTTTTAATTTTTATTATTTTTAAATTCATTGTTGCTGATTTAAAATTTAGTTTACACAGGGAATACTTTTATTTCTTTCTTTAACCGTTTCTTTATTACTTGTGTTGAAGGGTCCCACTGTTGGACTAATATTCTTCCATAAAAGCTTAGTTCGTTGTTCTTGCAGGCAGTAGGAGGTTGGTGAAAACAAAGTGGCTCTTACTGTACCTTAACTACCAGTTAGTTGCTCTTTAAGCCTTTTATTTTTTTCCATTGAACTCAAAATGGCTATTAAAGCTTTTAAATTAAATGCATGAAATGGAAAACATAATTATATTTCTCCAAGAGAATGGATTTGTTGGCCTATGAGATTTTATTTACTGGATGTTCACTTAAGCAACTAGAATTCATAAAGCTGCAATACTTGCAAAATGTGGAAGTTTTATTGCACTAACTGGTGATGAGGTAAAATGCTTTTAAATGAGAGAAGTTAATACTGTAGTTACACAGTTGAGTTGAAAACCTGTTTCATCCTGGAAAGTGGAGTTTGAACTGCGTCTCTAACCTGGATTCTGCTTTTTGTATTGCCACTTTTCTTCTGAACAGGAAAAGGTAGTTCGTTACATTTTGACGGGTAGTTCTACTTAAAATCTGTATACTGTTGCTAGAGGAATAGAGTCCTATTTTTGCTCTTCTTGAACACGGATCTTAGAACCATCTCTCTTAATTTTTCCCCTTCTAACTAGATTATTTTTATTATATTTTTCTCTGAGAACGTGTTTACATATGCAGTAACTCAGGAAGGGTAGGGATAGTGCTAATTGTCGTTTCTAAATTATACAGTGGACACTTGGCTTTCACATACTTCTGGACATACCTGTCTGTCCTGTTACTGAAGGATAATAGCAAGTTGCAGAGCCTGATAGACTCTTAAATTTAAGAAACCCTGCTGTCTTGATAAACTGTGAGCTTTTGGGAAGAAAATCCTTTTTTGGTGTATCTTAATAAGAAAGGGAGCAGAGCATGCACAGGGAAGTAGTGATTTCCCTTAGTTTATATTTAGAAAGTAAAAATTAATTTTTTGTTTTTCAGATTTTATCAGGACAAAGTTATGTGCAGAGTGGTATCTGCTTATCATTGTATTTTTAAAGCACAAAAACGTCTAACGTTTTCATGTTTTGAATCTGCAAATTCACTCTGGATTTTGAGTATCAGTTTCTTTTACCTTTAATGCTACGTTATCTTAAAAGGGATTTTTTTTTTTAACTTTTCCAGCTGTAAATGCAGTATCCTTGGGAAAGAATGGAGTAGTAGAACTGATGTTTAAGATCATTGGCCCTTTCAGTAAGAAGAACACTAGCCTTATGAAGTAAGTAATGTCTTTTTAATATTGTATATGGAAAAGTTTTAAATGTGTTTCAAAACTTACTTTTTAATGAAAAAGAATATTTAAAACAATGAAACATACCTCATATTTGACAGTTAAAGTAAAGAGAGATGGGAAGGACAACCACAAATCTGACTTTCTATGTTTATCCAGTGCAGTAACACAAAATATTTGAATATCTAGTTGCAGTACAGGTGAAAGGATAGAAGTGTTATTTTTTCCCTCTGATATTCCTGCATGGAAATTGTACCCACAGGTATCCCCAGAACAGGACAAACCTGGTCAAGGCTATCTCATTGTTCTTAAAAGTGTTGAATTTGCTCCCAGCTCTCCTTTGTGTTTTCACAGTGACGCTGTGTGTTTTATACTAGAATTTCCTTTGCTTTATACCTCCAAGCAATCAAACCGTTTCTCAGGACAAAAACATCCACTGTAGAATAGTAAACATCAGGAATATGTGTCTAATGGACTACTACGTGAATAAAAGTTTGACTGGGTACCTTAAAGCAGTGCCTTTGGCTTTTTCCCTGTGTAGGCAGTAATTTTAGGGCAAAAATAAGTAACTCGTCTATCCTATTCATCAGATATTTTTCGCAAGTGGTCCTGAATGACTCTCTTTTGTATACCAGTCTTCCACTTGATCTTACTGGAGATAGGTCTCTCGTTACGCTCTTCTAGCCTTTTGAAGTGCATACCTGTGGAAAACTGAACTTTCTTCTGTCTACTGAAATAGTACTTCAGTACAAATTAGTGTTCTGTTATCTAAATCAAGTACACATGGTTCTTGGAGTACTTGAAAACTCCTGTCCCTTTAACCCCCAGCTAAAATTAAACATATGAACTTATTATTCCATGATGTGAGTAATTGTGATATCTTTGTTTATGGTCCGAGATCAAATGCGTGAAGTCTTATCTTTACAAAGAGGGTAAAAATACATGTTAGGTTTTCTAGTAGTACATCTTGAGATAGTTAAGGCAAGACCTTTGTATACTAAAAATTTTTTACTGATGATTCTGTAGTGTAGTGCCTTTGTTGATGAGCCTTACTCCTAAATACGTTCATGTTCTACCAGTTTTATCCTATAGTTTTCTGAAGTGGTGTCCTCTGTTTTGCAGAAGTGGCTTATTGTGCAGCTAACATAAAACCAGGGTTTTAGAGAGATCTTCTGTTGAATGTGATTTATAAACGTTACACTAGCGCTAACTGTGGGTTTTTTTTGCAAAGACTGAAAGTTCATATAGCCCTTGTATCAGTGTTTTTAACTTTAGATTAGATCTCAGGTCTCAGAGATGCATGATGTTTTAGTAAAACCAAATTTTTAAAGAAAAGTCTGATACAGTGCAACCAGGAGAACAGAAGAGACACTAAAGAAATCTGTTAGCTGTAGAACTTTTTGTATAGCTTTATAATGTTTTATATGAAGTTGAGTAGTTTTTTGTTGTTTATCTTCTTTATTATGTTGACAGGGTTGCTTTAGACACACTTGCTGCATTGCTAAAATCAAGTAAGTGTTTGACTACAAGAAACTGTTCTTTTAGTTGAGATATATTTGTTTGTGTAAATACATAAAATGAAAAAAGAATAAAACTAACTCTGTGGCCAAAACGAAATCAAGTCCAGGAAGCTTGGAGTTAAGGCTGTGGTTTCATCTGCAGTCCCTGGTACTTTAGTGTTTGTGTGTATGTACATTTATATTTAATAATCAGTTACTATCTCTTCAGTTATGCAGCAGAAAGGTTGCCCAGCTTCTGCAGAACTGGTCTGAAAGGTGGGGAAATACCTTTTATAGTCACTCACCTCTGCCCTTCAGTGGTGGCCGCCTATGCCTTAACTGCTATGCATCTTCCTCATACGCACATATTACGTGACCAGAAATACCACTAGGATGACAGGAGAGCGCAGTATCTTCTGGTACCTTTCTGACTCATCAGGTCGTGGGTGCTAAAGCTGAATGCGTTGGTCCACCTGTGGAGTGGCACCAGGGGTGAGGAAATGACGGTTTGTTCCTGGGCATTGGCTGTCTGAGCCGACAGCAGAGGATCCCGACAAACGTCACTGCTACTGACCGTGCGCCAAGATTATAATGCACAAGGAAATATAAACTCATTTTCTCCCAGTGGTCATATAAAAGCTGCAGCAATCTGAGTAATTGTAGTGTAGTTGGAGAGGAGCTGAGGGGTGATCATATTTGCAGAAAACCAGTTCAGACGCATAGTAGGAAACTCCTCTTTGCGTAGAGTGCTAAGCTTTTTTGAGTTGGATCAGAGTGATTCCTTGATCTTAAGGACTGCCTATTTAATAATTCTGGGATTTCTTCTTGGGGAAGTCCAGGGAAGGGAACATTTTGGAATTACTGTTGGCATTCTGTTCTGTAAATTTTTGTACCGATTTGAATATCGTGGAAATAATACGTTGAAAAGTGTGTAAAGAAAGCAGGAGCTCTTGACTAACACGCTTGCGTTTATTTTGAGATAAGCGTTATGTAGTCCTGAGAGACTTTGGCATTTTACCCTCCTACGCTTCTTATGTCACTTTCCATAACAGTGTTCATCTCTGGTGTGTAGAGTCCAATTGTTCTACTGCATATTCCACATAAATTGGTGAATTTTTTTTTAAAACTAAGTCCAACGAAAACACACAGTGAATGTAGAACTCTTGTCTGTTTTTGTGAAACTGTGTTATAATGGTCATTCCTTCTCCTGCAATTACTAGCAACTTTCTGAAAAAAAATTTGTCTGATTTCAAACACCTCATTGCATTGGTTGTTTTTTTGAGGAGGAGTAAAAGAGGGAGTTAGAAAATCTATGTAATTTATAATCCGCTATTTTTTAGATTGATAATTAGAATATAATGATTTTTAGGGCTTTAAGAAAAACAAAACAGCACAACTTGATCAGTTTGAGTTTGTCAGAACTGGGTTCTTTGTCAGGTTGCACAGGTCCTACCATATTTGGGGTAGAAATATTCTGAGTTTATCAAATTTGAGTGACAGTTGCTGCAATATTACATGGAGTATAAACAGTAAAACAGTGTTTTTCCAGTGTTATGTTTGCACAGTGTGTATGGGAAGTGATGGATATGTTCTAAATGTTTTTTTTCTAAATTTGCTAGCTAACAGTATCTAATGCTTACCTATAAGTGTGATAAATGCTGTTCTTTTGGTAAACTGTGAAAATTAAATGCAACAGTATCCTGAGGAATGAAGGATACAGTACTGGACTCATCACTCAATCATTTGAGTAATTTTCCTATTCTCTTGAAAATGATATTTATGCACATAATTTTGTATAGGAGTTTTGTATAGCAGTAAAAAGGACAGTAATGCAAATGCACTGCAAAACAACATGAAGTTATGTCACTACTTAATAAATTATTACTATGATTTAAATGTAACACATCCAAATTTGCTATTTATTGATCTATTATATATATTATTCATATGCTTTTAATAAAAGAATATTAAATATTTTTAGTACTCATTTTTCAAAAGATTTATGTCTGAAACTGACTTTTAATTTAAAAAAAAAAAAAACAATTTGGAATCAGCAGTTTGAAGGCATTTACCATCTTGGAGAAAGAATGTTTAGAAATATAGGTTTGAGACTGGTAGAAGTTTCTTTGGAAATTCTACTACTCACTGTTACATTGATTCAAAATAGTTTGCATATTGCGTATTTTGCAATATAGACGTTGGCATGTAGAAGTCAATCCTTTTAAGTATCATTCCCAATTGCAATAAGGAATCAGGCAAAATTTGTGTATGTCAGAGGGGAAACAATGCCTACCTTGGACAGCTAATCTCAATATGTGTCTTGGAATGACTTAGTTAAATGTTTGGTGATCCTGACAGGGTTGGGGAATCGTAGGCTTGTAAGACATGTCTAGAAAATAGGGACGCATACTTTCTAGAGTTTTCATATCTATGTTAAGGTAAAACTGCTAAATGTGGCTGAACTAGTACTTTACCGAACTTACTGAATTGTTATCATTTAAAAAGAATCATTTTAAAATTGATTTGAAAATAATACTGAAAAAATGACAGTAATAAAGTCCTTTCACAATTTTTAATTTACTTCCTAACTTCTTTTTTGTTAAGAGACAAACGCCAGGAGAGCAGTAGATAGAGGATATGTACATGTGCTTTTAACGATTTATGTAGATTGGCACCGTCATGATAGTCGACACAGATATATGCTGATACGTAAAGGTATTTTACAATGCATTAAAAGCGTTACAAACATCAAATTAGGAAGAAAAGCATTCACTGATGCCAATGGGATGAAAATTCTTTACAACACTTCACAAGTAAGTTTATCTCCTTTTTCGTTGTTGCATTTTAAGCTTTAAAAATATATTCTGACCTCTCTCTTTTTTCTTTTATGATATGAGTGCTCATTCTTGATTGTGGGTATAAGGATAACTTTCTGTACTTGACTGAAGCAGAAGGAAAAGATGCAGGATGAAATTGATATTTTAATGTTACTCAGCTGTGACTGTCTCTGGGATGGGCTATTGATCTTCTGAAAAAAATAACTGTGAAGATAGGGCTTTGAAGAAGGTGAATTTGAGTTGGTAGAAGTTCTCCTGGTCTTAGGAGACATAAGCAAAATTTATTTTAAGTAGCAGCATAAAATATTTTGTCATTAGTGAATTCTAAAAATGTATAAGCCAAATGCAATTTGACTGTTTATTTGAGAGATCCTTTTCTCTTGTCTTCGTTATTTTCCTGTTAATAGGAGTGCCTTGCAGTAAGAACTCTTGATCCCCTTGTCAACACATCCAGCCTAATAATGAGAAAATGTTTTCCTAAAAATCGCCTTCCTTTACCTACTATTAAAAGTGCTTTCCATTTCCAACTCCCAGTTATTCCTGCTAATGGACCTGTGGCTCAGCTGTACAGTTTGCCTCCTGAAGGTATGGTCATTTTGCAATGTTTTCTCTTTGAATTTGTCTAATCTTGCTGTGTGTAGGGTGGAATCAATTACAATTGTCTGTGACTTTCTCTACTAAAATTTAGACTCTGGTGAGATTCTTCTCAGCTAGCAAAGGATCTGTGACCATTAGAGAGGAGCATGAATTTCTAATACCAAACTTCAGTTAATGACAATTTTGCCTGCATATATGTGGTTATGTTTCTGGAGGTATAATGTACAAAATAAACCAGGAACTAAAAAATGATGTTCATTTAACTCTCAGTTGTAAAGCATAGGGTGTATGCATTCATCTACAAACTTAAAAAAAAAAAAAAAAAAAAAAAAAAAAAAGGGAGGGGGACTTTCTTAACTCATCGCTGTGCTCTTCTGATAAATTGGATGTACTGAATTTAGATTAACAGGTGCTGTTTGAAGCATTGATACTAAACCGTTGTGGTTACTCCCTCATCTATATGATGAGAAGTAGAGCTGTTTACATGAAGTGTTGCAATCTCTTAGGTAACACTAGTCTGCAAAGTATTTGCTTGGCGCTTTACGGGAAGCAGAGTCATCTGATTGTGATTTCTTCTCATTATTTTTGGATAATTAATGCTTTTTCAGATGCCTAGAAACAGCTTAGTACTTGGGTAAGCAACTGGTGAAGTTGCTGTGGGGAAGTTAATCCAAAATAAAGAGGTGAAGTTACACTTTTAATATCTTCATATTAATAATATTTTCTGAAATAAAATATGATCACAGTCTCAAAGAAGTCAAATATCTGCTTGAGGTTCATCTAGCATAGAATCAAACTGCAGGATTTTAAAGTCTCTTCCAAATAGGAAATAGATTTCAAAGCATGTTACAAAATCCACAGAAATTAAATTACTACTTAATACGGTATTTTGATAGCTGTAATACTTTTTTAGAAACTTAATATTGTGTTGAAGTAGACTATCGATCGTTTCTCTTTCCAGTGGTCTGTATATATACACAGAAGTGCAAAACCTAAAGAAATGGGATACATCTCTTCTACAAACTTTTCTATTAAAAGAGGTGCAGAATAGTTTGTAGGGGTACTGTCTGAATTTATTAAAAGTATAGTTTCATAGAGTTAAAATGCAGTAAGTTTAATCATTCTGACTACCTTAGCAAATCAGTATATTTTGTTAATTTTTTAAATGAGCCTTCTAATGACAACAAATTTCTTGCACTGAAAACCCTCTGAAAAACACCCAAATTGTGTAGTATTTCTGGAAAGAGATCAGGTTTATCACCAGTATTTAGCACATCTATCAGAATAACTGGCTGGGGCCCACTTCTACATATCAGGGAGCAATTTTAGCCCAATACTCTTAACTGTTTACGTGACAACTAATTTTACTTCACCTTGTTTTTTTTTTTTCTTTTTTTGAAGTTTCATAGTATTGCATCTCTAAATCAAAAAGAGATTGGTGATTGGTGTCTAAATATTTCTGCATGTGTGGGAAGTAACTTCTTCCTGTATGTGTCTGGAGCGAAGTTTAGTTCCAAGTCTGGCTAGCAGTTGCAGTGACCAGTCAGTCAGCTCCAGTATTTTCCTTACCGGGAGGAATCTCCAGTGATAGTTTCTGACTTATTTTTAATTTTAGGCTCATTTTTAGGCTAGATTAAAAACATTGTGAAGGGAGTGCTTTGTCCTACCATCCGTGATACTAGGTCACTGTCAGCTGACACGACAGTTTTGTTTGTTTGTGTTTCTTTTTTGGACCTGCCCATTACTACTTGCTTTGGGAGAAGGTGTCAGAGCCATCTCATTTTGTGGTGAGTTGAGGCTGACTGGGATATTTTGATGCTGAACAGCAGGCTTGGCTCATCTAGGTTGTTAAGGATTTCTGATAGCCATGTGCTATTCTTGTGGGGGGGCTGGGGGGATGGAAATACAGAACTGAGTCTGCAGTATTGCCAAACAGTCACTTGGTTTTGTAAATTTGGTAATAGTTACTAAAGCTTACGGGGTTTCACAGGACTTTTTAACGGGTTGGTTTTGCCTTTTTTCAATTGTTAAGTAAAAAATAAACCTAGATGATTAAATAAAAGTATCGCTCTTCTTTTTTGAGCGTATGTATTGTGATTAAATTTATAATCTGCTTTAGAGAACTTTTTTTTTATATCACAGTGGATGACGTAGTGGATGAAAGTGATGATAATGATGATGCCGAAGCAGAATCAGAAATTGAAACGGAAAATGAAGATGACAAGGACCAACATTTTAAGGTTGGAAGGAGACAAAATTAAAGGACAAAACCTAGACACAGTTCTGTTGTTGATGCCTGAATTGTGTATACAGCCATATGCTCAAATATTAGGAGGTTGTGGGGAGGTTTTAAGATGCAGTTTCTAAAATAAGAAAATGATCTGAAATTTAAGGAAGCTGGATGCTGTTGGAAAACATCAGCCTTTATTCAGATTACATCAAGATTCTTATCGAAAACCTGTTTGCCTCACAGTTGATGTAGCTGGAGTGGGATGGAGCAGAACTGCAAACTGCTTTTTGAGTTTTCTGTTCCCAGTTGCACTTTCCTCAGCCCTCTCTTCTCTGCTGCCTACCATACTCAGCTTGTAGGAGATACTCCAGTTTTTTTCCGTCGTTCTGGCTGGGTATCAACTAGGTCAAGTTAATTCTGAAGTTCAGCCAGCTAGAGATTAGACCTCCAGTTGTTGCATCACTTGGGGAAGGTCTCATTCTGTTCTTCAGCTGCCGCTCAGGACATGAAAGGACATTCGGTCAGAACTGCCTGTTTTATGTTTGTGTGTTATGTAGATGCAGAAGTTGATTGAATCATCCGTCCACTAACTGAAACGACAACTTTCATTTCAGGCTTTCTTCTCATGAGTCTTGATGAAGGGAGTATCTTTAAAGAAGCTATTATTCCTTTGTCACTGTAGTCAGATGAAATCTTCACCTTTCAGTTTGCAGTAGTTGCATTATGCATAATCTCCTGTGAGGGGTAGTCTGATATCTGTGCATAGAACATTTGGATGAAAGCAAGAAAACTTATGTTTGTAATACTTCCTTTGAAGTAGGGGTTTTGGCAGTCCAATAAAATCGAGCTGCTTAAATTCTTATGATGGAATGTGCAGTTCCGCTACTTTTATAAAATAATATTGAGCTGTGTCATAATCATGTCCGTGTTAGAAGTAAAGGCATAATATATCATGAATTTAGACGTTCATTCATCCTGAATGCAAGGTTAATTTGTTTTGGTGCTCTTTCAGAATGATGATATTGAGACTGATATTAATAAACTGAAACCTAGACAGGAATTGGGGCGACCAATAGAAGAACTGAAAATGTATGAGCAGTTTTTCCCAGAACTTTCAGAAAACTTTCAGGTAAAGTATATAATTCCCAGTGCCTCCCTCATAATGAGGGGTAGACTCTCGAATATATTTTGATGTTCTTTTTTTGTGTGGATAGAGTTATTCCAGCAAAAAACAACCAAAAAAAAAGGGCATTTCTGGAATTATGAGTGAAGGTGCAATACAGTGAGTTATTTAGTTTCTGGTTACGTTAGTTCAAGCTAATAATAGGACTAATAGGAGGGGACTGTGGGCAGGTCAAACATAAAGGAAAACTCTTTTTTTCATGTCATTGGTTTTAGCACACAGAGGAAAGTAAAATACAAGAAAAGACATAAGCTGTTTCTGGCAATGATTCTGTGTACCTATTTAAAGTAGTGAATTACAAAATCTGAAGAATGGGATTGGCTTGAAAGTTTGTTGTTGGCAAACTACTTTTTTACTGTTTTCTTGGAAACGATGAAACTTCATTGCCTTATGTGTGTAGGTTTACGACACAATGATATCGTCTTTGGATTATTGCAAAGCATACCTCTGAAATAATGGAGAAGAAAGCTTCTAGTGTAATGAGCTGTTAAGAAGTGCTTAGTTGGGGGCAGGGGGGGAGGGGAGGAAACAAGAATCAAGGTTTGTTTTTGTTGTTGTTTTCTTTTAGGAATGTGATTTAGTCTCCAAGGAGCCAAAGCCTTTTCGATCTGATGCAAATTTAGGTGGGCCTATTGTTGTTCCTACAGCAGGAGAGGAGCACTTTGCAGAAGCAAACCCGTCAGTAAATGAAATTTCTCTGAAGGAGAGCAATTCTTTGTTGACAGAGGAATACAATATAAGGCCAGCCTTTCTAGAACTGCCAAAGAAAGATAGTAACAAAGACAGTAGTTTACATCAGCAAAACGATCAAAGGAGGCTGCTGCCATCATGTCAGTGTCTAAGCCAAGAAATTATAAAAGGCTTGGACAGAATCACTCTGCAGAACAGTGCAAAAAATGAACAATATTATGGTGCAGGGTGTGTAATAAAGAAGGAAAGCAAAACTAGCCTTAGCACACTTGCTTGTAGTAAACCTTGCGAACATGTTTCACCCTGCGGAAGTAGCCTCTTTGAGGGATCATCTGTCCAACTGGGAAAACTATGCTGCACTGGGGTGGATTCTGAGGAGGACGACGATTCTGGCTCAAGTTCATCAGGGGAACAAGTGATGCTTGAAGTTTCTGATGTATCACCAGTTCATGACTCTGATCTCTATATTGAAATGGTAAAAAACACAAAATCTATCCCTGAATATTCAGAAGTGGCCTATCCAGATTATTTTGGCCATATTCCGCCCCCATTTAAGGAGCCTATTCTGGAAAGGCCTTATGGGGTGCAGAGGTGAGTTCAAATTCTTTGCTGCTGTTCTCTTCAGGAAATAATCTTTACGCTGAGATTAACAGGAAGATCACCTTCCACGTATACAACTTTTGCTTTGGCATATAAAACTATTTTCAGGTCAGAAAATCAGTTTGAAGGTAGATGAGTTGGCATTAATTAGTGTAAAGCCACAAAGAAGAACAAAATCTCATTCTATAATTGCTAGCTCTAATTCTGTAATTCCAATTTCTGAATGCTAAGTATACTTTCTACTCTCCCTTCTTTTGCTCCCTTCACCCTTTTCCCCATGCAAATCTTATAATTTGTAAAGATTTCTTACCATTTCCAAGATCAAAAGAAGGAAGCTGGAGATGCGATGCTTGCTAACTCACTGTTTAACTATAGAATGTCATCCTTACAAAGGATTTTGGCATATTTTATCAAGCAACAAGAAAGAGCACTCTGAAGGTTTGTGGACGTAATGGTGTATTGACAGTTTACCACCTCCTAATACTTTGTGTTGGGAGCTTTACTCTGTGTTGTCTGTGAATTAAGGATACAGTCGTACTGTATGTGAATGAAATTCCTTCTGTTTGTCCTCCTCTTAGAAGAGCTGTAGAAGCACTGAAGTGAACGTATGCTAAGCTGTTGGTGTGGTCAGCATTAATATTTTTCAGTTAACGTAACTGAACACCCCCTTCAGGCCTTACAAAAGATAGGTCAGTTACATATTTAGATACTTCAGTTCTTCTCTCTCCTGTGCTAACGAAGCTGTCTTTGAGCAAAATGTAATGTGAACAAATTCAGTGATAAATGCATTTAAGTATTTGTTTTTAATATTAGTAATATAACAGTATCTAGAAGTAGCAACCGCTGAGGATGCGGTCATGTTATATGCTGCATAAGCAAAGAATGAAAAAACATCACCAACACAGCTCTCGGTGAGCAAATGAATGAGTATTTTAAAAGAAGACGGAGGGATTACCCTCTAACTGTAAGAATAATTTACAAAAGCTGTATGAAGAGCTAGCTCATATGCATAGAAATGAGTTACTATAGAGACAAATGAGCATTTTAGGAGAATATATAATAGTACATATGAGACCTTGCCACTTAGTGATTGCATTGAACGCTTTCAGCGTTATACTTGCCACTTTAACCAATTTCATTAGATTCTTCATTTTTACATTTGGTTATTGATTAAGATGACATGTCTTTTTTAAACAAGGTGGTATCATTACAGTACCTCGCTGACAGAGTTTCAATGATCTTTCCTACAAAATGATCAGGTATTGAAACACAAATGGCATTATACTGCTGTTCCTATATAACTTTTTACTGAAAAGCCCTGTTCAGTGTTGAAAGTAAAGAATCTATCTATATGCTTATTTTTAAGATGGATTCAACTGAACTAGAAAGGAGCTTGGCATTTTCTGACTCAAGATTTCGAACAGTATTTTAAGAAAATTTTACATATCTTCACATATTTTTGTAATATTTAATCATTCTGAATATTCCTGAGGAATCTGACATTGAGTGAGGCCTTTAAAATCAGGAACAATTGGAACTGTCTCACCAAGGTTGGCCGGGACCTCAGGAGATCATGTGGTCCAACCCCCTTGCTCAGGCAGGGTTATCTAGAGCATATTGCACAGGATCGCATCCAGGCGGGTTCATTCTTTTTAGAAATGAATCAAAGCACCGTATTAACTCTACCTTTTGACCAACAAACCTACTTGTGTGCTCATGCATAGAGCTGATATCTAAACCATGAGATTAATTATAGTTTGTTGGTGTTTTTTTTTTTTTTTAAACTTTAAAATATTTTATTTTTGGTAAGATGTACTTTTAACACTGAAAGTAGCTTTTTACTTCCTCTATGGAGCAAAAATGGAATTTCATGTAATACTGCTAAACTTGATTCAAAAATCTTTTCTCACCTTTTTAAGGTATACTAAATTCTAGGAATTCAGCTTTCTGCTAATGTGTCAGTCTTATTACTGCAATGTAACAAATTTCTGAGAAGAGAACCCTTTTTAAAAGGGCCGCATCGTTTTAGAAATTTATACGTTGTAGAAAGGTGGTGAAAATTACTTTTGTCAAAGATATGGAGACATATTAAAGTCTTCAAGAAATGTGTGTCTAAATTTTGCTGACATTCCATAGGATTTCTGTTCACCTTATTGTAAGCAATTAGTACACCTCTTGGCAGGTAAGTCTCTGTTAGAAATCAAAGGATTGCATTAATCCGTCCTCACTGTAATTTAAGCAGGCCTTGTAGGATTTTTAGGTGAATGTGTTCTGTTTGGTGTTGCAATATGCCGGGAGAGAGACAGCGTTTCCCAAGTTGTGTTTTGGAGCACTTTTGGATTTTTGTGTACATTCAGCAGTATATAGTTTTTATCAAATGTTTCACTAAGCTGTTGTCAGTGTCCTCTGAGAATAACTGAAGTATTTTATTATTCCACCTTTTAGAGAGGGAAGTAGCTACTTAGTGCAGTCCCCTGTTAGGCATTAATTAGGCATTAAATAACCTCTTTTTTCTCCTTTCCTTAAAACTTTAGGATTATTTTTGCTGCACATTTTAGGATTTTCTAATCACCTGACCGTGATGATAATATTATTTGATCAGGTAACTCAGGATCCACAGGGGACCTACCCATAAACACATAGCTCCAGGTCAATAGTTTTTTCTTTCTGTTTTTTCCAATATTTATTTCCCTCAATAATTTTGAGATAGCTTCTCTTGTCTCCTAATTTTTCATTATCTTAAAATGACCATTACTTTTTTTTTGCTTTTTATGTATCTTCTTTAAAATCATTTCTTCTTTCTGTCTATGTACTATGGCTATAGCTGTGATGTTTGAATGTTTGACATTCATTAATGGATTTTATCCTGACCAAATTTCTGTGATGATGATAAGTGTTATGACCACTTAGAGCTGAGGCCTATTGAGATTTAATTATTTGAGATCAAGTGGGAAATCTGCAGTTCTGCCCTGAACTGAACCCTGATCAGATTGCAATTGTATTAATAAGTTGTTGAACTTGTGACTTGATTTCCTTTCCAAGTGAATCTTAACTTTTAATAAGAGGTGCTAGCGTTGTACACTTCCTTTCTTTCTGTTTGCCAACAATATTTGTTTTAATTTAACAGAATTTCCAGCCTGAACATACTTTACATCTCTGTTCCTGTATTCTTCATTGTTAATCTGCCTCCTTTTGTTCTTATTGCAGGTGCTGTGCAAGCTTTTCCCCACAGCTCTGCCACTATATTTCATTCTTGAACTGCAACACATTCTTGCTTTTCCAAACCAGGACCTAGATACTGCCAGTTGTGCAATGGTTTAATGATCGGGATAAATATACACCTGACATTTGGCTGACATCACCAAATTCATTCTTTCCTGCTGCTACTAGGAATTATGAAATGGTGTATTCATTTTGTAAGATAAAACCCAGTGGGTTTTGTGCATGAAAGCTCAGTTCCCACACATACAGATTCTGGAATCAGTCAGCTGTGAATGCAGGTGTTTAAGTACACTTACAGTTTGTGCACATAATTGGGGACGAGGCTGAAGTGTCTCTGAAAATCTGTCCCACTATCTTCATGTTAATTTTTAGTTTTCATTATTATTTCTCTTTTATAGTTGGAAGCAGTGTGCAACAGGTTAAGTGGGGACTCTTCTTTTTATTATAGGACAAAAATCTCTCAAGATATTGAAAGGCTGATTCATCAAAATGACATTATAGATAGAGTTGTGTATGACCTTGATAATTCCAGGTAAGCTTTTCTCCTTTTGAAAACCATACTCAATGAGTAGTCTAAGTCTATTCTACTTTTTCCATGATAGGATTTGTAATTTTTAAGACTGTACTATAATTACTGATTTCACTAGAACTTTCTTGTGATGTAGCGTTGTTTCTGCTATTTATGGCAGGTTCACAGTAATTTTTCAGTTACCAAGTGAGGGCTGAAGCAAACCTCATGAGTTTCTTTTAGTCATCCTGATTCCCTTTTTTTCGCCTTAGTTATTCAGTACCTGAGGAAGCAGATGTTTTGAAGTTTAATTCCAAATTTGAATCTGGAAACCTACGCAAAGTTATTCAGATCAGAAAGTAAGATATTTCAACTTTTCTTTTTACATGTGAGACCTTTCATTTCTGATTTTTAAAAAAGATTTTTATTAATCTTTAGAAACGAGTATGATCTAATTCTGAACTCGGATATCAATAGCAATCATTATCATCAGTGGTTTTACTTTGAAGTCAGTGGAATGAAAACTGGCGTTGGTTACCGGTTTAACATCATCAACTGTGAAAAGTCAAACAGTCAGTTTAACTACGGTAAGGTACATTTCCCATTCTTTGAGAAGAAATACGTAGCAAAGTATCTGTAGTAGACAGCTCAGCTGTGTGTTGTTCGTGTTGTGTTACAGATCAGATCTTTGTTTGGATAGTCTCACTGAAAAATGTTTTGACAGGTTTCAGTTAAAAAAGTGTTTCAGAGCACTGGCTGTCAGTTTGTAAAATGACGTATTGTTGTGATTGAAGCCAGCTAGCAGCTGCAGCTAAAACGGTCTTAACACCATTTGGGATGGGGGACGCCAAACCTTGTCAATCAACACAGATGCAAGAGCGATGAGAACCAGTGTCATTAAGTCCCTTCCTGAATGCTGAGATGTGTTCTCAGAAGTGAGAAGAAGGGGAGATAGTCGCAAAGAGTTTTTTCTTATTGGTAGGCAGGGGGAGGGACTGCGTTTGTGAGAGGGGAAAGGTAAGCTCTTGGATTCTCCTTGGTAGTGTTGGGCTTCACGTGTGACCCCTGCAGTTTCTAACCCGTAGTGTTTTGCTGCTCGTGCCTCGTGCAAAAGTACTGCCTCCTATAATAAGCTTTTCTTCTGTTTGCCCAAGCGGGGTCATTGCAGTTCTGTTGTGAGTTTTTTTTTTTTGTTTGTTTCCCCACTAGATTTTGTGCGGTTCTTCCCTTTTAGTCCTTGGGGGAGGAGGAGCAGAAGCCTCCTTGTTCCCATCTTCAAACTCTTGGGACAGAGCAACATCATATTCTTCTTTGTCATATTTGTACAGTTGACACTGATAGACTCTTAAGTAGAATATCCAGATAGTTTGACCAGTAGTAATTTGCTTTTAAATTACTTGCAAATTTTCATCAGTCACTTTAGATCTTTATTCATATATATTGCATACATTTATTTGGTAGGTACATTGGCTTCTTATTAAATATGTTAACTGACTCAGTGTTTTTATTTCACTGATTACATAAGTGATTACACTGACATAATACAGACTGAATATACATCCATTTCTATTCTAAAGGGGAGAGTAAGTGTTCAACTTCACTGTTCTCTTGATTAGAATATAAACATTTAAAAAGTTGCTGAGAAATAGGGTACATAAAAAAAATTCATTTAAAACATTTGCACTTCTAAAAACAAGTTCGCATGCTCTAACCAGGTGATAATCTTACCTGGAAACTTTTGTTATAAAGATAGTATTACTGTATTGAAACATCAGTTATTTTCCAGCTATCCAGGTGAATAGATGAGATCTTAATCTTTTGTATTCTCTTTGAAGCCTTTTTGTAATAGTGAATTAGATGGATTGGAACCCAGGATTCTTTTAGTTTACTATTCATGTTAACCATAGCTTTTATTTAGAATAGTTTTGGTTTTACTGCAGAACAATTTTTTTTTTTTCAATTAGGATGTGATGGAGGAGGGACAGATGATCTTTTACTAGTTGAATGAAAGAGCATATCCAGATTTTCATGAATGTATATTCCATGATAGTAAGTGAAAGAGAATAGCTAGTTTGGAGAATGTTATAAAAATGTTTATCTGATCCATTACTGATATTATCTCAGTGTTAAAGAGGGCTATCTTTGCATTAAAATACAATGCCTTTTTTCTTAAAGGTATGCAACCCCTCATGTATTCTGTTCAGGAAGCGTTAAATTCTAGACCATGTTGGACTCGTGTTGGGACAGACATTTGTTACTACAAGTAAGTACACCAACCCAATATAGTGGGAAAAAAAGTTATATTGAGGATGACTATGAAGTAGAATATTTGTTGACAATGAGAAATGTTTACTTTTGTATTTTAGTAACACTCTTTTAACTGTTCTGTTGTGAACATAGTTTTTTTCCTGAATTACTCTTCCTTAGTTACTGTGGAGAAGTAACAGAAGTGACCAAAATATATAGGCTCTTGTTTTGTTAGCACCCTGCTAGCATTAAAGTAGTTTAGCTCTGTATTCATTTTTGGTCAGAAATTGCATTCTATTCTACAGAAACATTTAATGGAACGTATGTATGTACATATATGTACACTTACTTAAAACGTTATTGGTGACATGCAGTATACTGATCAAGCGGTACCTGCGAACCTGCGATTAGTCTTTTGTATCCTGTGGTACAATCGTTTTAAAGCAATCCCAGAACAGAGGATGAGAAGTTACCTTTCCATTTGTTACTCTTTTTGGTCAGCAGTTGTTTGTTTGTTTCTTTCTTTTTTTTTTTTTTTTCCCCTTCCCCACCTCCCATAATGGATGTATATCCCTGCTATCATAAAGTTTCTGTAGAGATGGTGGGAACCAGTGGATTAATTATTTAACCTGCATGCACACAGAAGAGAAATACAATCACTAAAAATTTTCCTGACTCTTAAAACATGTGTTTGGGAGTAATTTATGATACAGAAATTAAATTATTTGAATGTGTTTATTATATTTGTTTTACTCTTAGGAATCATTTTTCAAGAAGTTCGATTGCTGCTGGGGGACAGAAAGGAAAATCTTACTATACCATTACGTTCACAGTGACTTTCCAACATAAGGACGACGTCTGCTATTTTGCTTACCATTATCCATACACATACTCAACCTTAAAGGTGAGAAGGTTATGATCCATTACATATGTAATGATTTATACTTTTGGAGAACGTGTGGTATGTAAAATGATAAGCATTCATGAGTGAATTCTGCTTCCGTTTTTTTTTTTTTTTTTTTTTTTTTTTTTTCAAAAGGGAGA